GATATGAATTTTATTTGTTGTAAACTTTAAGAGTGCAATAACCACCTGTTCTTGGATCTCGTTACATTTGATGACCTTGGTGCGAAGATCCGGACGGTCAAGAGCTGAACGGCGCAAAAAGATAAGCTGTATAAACGAGTAAGAAAAAATCGTAGCTGACCAAATAGGGAAGTAACAACTGTGTAGAATACAAGGTTTTCATAAGTCATCAACTCGTATGAACCGAAGGTGGGTACCGCTTCGAGATAAAGTGTGGCAGCACCAGCGAAGTCTCGTACAGACATCTTATACAGAGCTTCATAGGAGCGCAGTCGATTTTTACGTTCCCAGTCACCACCCTAAAACACCTCAAGCAATGATCTTTTGTAGTACCTCCACTACAGTGCAAACACAAAAAAACACTGTAACAGAAGGAGAAATAAAAAAAGCCAACATAGATTGGAAGTTGCTCCAGCTCGCAAAAAAGGGGATATAGACTGATACTATTACAGTGGAAACAAAAATAAACAATTGTCATGCCAAGATTAATAAACAGTCTGATAAGGAAGATTTTGCAAGAAACAATAAAAAGTTTGGATATAACGAAAAACGGTTAAGGAGCTCAGCTTGTTGAACATCAGCATAACTATTAAGGGTAAATTCTATGTTTGAAATAGGGAGCTTTACACATCGAAACAAAAGGGTGGCATAAAGTTACCTGTTCCATTAGCTCCTTGGCTTTTGTGATATTTTGGTTGATGAGCGTGTGGTCAAGGAAAAACAATCCAACACGAATCATGTTGAAAACAAGGTCGATACGATAACCCATACCGACGGTTTTGTCGTACGTCGACTAAAATACAAATATTTGGCTGTATAGGGAGGGCAGCATACCACCTATCTATCGACACTGTCGTAATCAATTTTGTATATTCACGTCCTGCTCACGGAGTCCGAACACAGAGTCCGATTTTTTTCGACCAGTGTGAAATATTCAGAAGCCCTCATACAGGTATCTCCTAGTACAGCTATTCGCGCCGAGTGGTCAACTACAGCCCGTAATTTGTGTTTAAGACTTTTCCCTTATTCAACAATTATTCCAGAAGCTTATTCCCTTTGAGTAGAAATGGCTAAGTAAGGAGCAGAACTATATAGAAGCGTAAGTTTCTTCTTCTTCTCTTTTATTGAATTTGACAGGCTCAGCTTCATCAAATTCGAATCAAAGAGTCATTTCAAAACTTAGGGACTTTGTCTCAGAACTTAGATAACTCTGTGAACTCTATCAATCTTATTCTTGATGTGATTTTTATGTTGATAGAGATCAACTCTAAAAATTCAGGGATGCAAGACTATATGCTCGGTATGTCAAATTGCTTTTGTCCTATTCTCTGCTACTAACTAAGTCCCACCACCATGGAGGAAGTTTGCTGAAAGCGACATAATCAATGAATGTACTAGGTTATTGTAATTAGCGT